GTAAGATAACAAATTTGTGTTATTTTAAGCTATTAATTTTGTGATAATTTGTTATGGTAGCCATAAAAAAACTAATACACAAGTCAACATACAATGTCTTAAATTGATACAAAGGACATATCAGAGAACATAGTATGATATGTCCGTACATATGGATGTAAATATCAGAACTAATGGAAAGTGGTTGTTCTGGAAGCAGCAGGGGGAATAGAAACAGATTATTGGTTTTTATTGTGGTTATGAGCTATTTTAGCATCATTTGGTTTTTTTAAACATGAATAATTACTTCAATGAAAAGTAAGAATTAAGTTTTTAAAAACACTCAACAGACTAAGGAGATTGTTTATATGGTAGCAAAATCTGTTTGCTTTTCTAGAAGAGAGGATTTAGTTAAGTTGAGCTGTAGCTGATCTTTTCATTGTTCTTACTTTTACCTCTAACCAGCAATTATCTTTCAAACATTCTTGTTCTCCTCACCTCAAAACCATATTTATTCTTCCTTCTCATACTCCACTATATAATAAACAAGACTAAGAGGGAAAAAAAGGTTTGTTTATCATGACTTTCAGCAGTAAAACTATTTATTTTCACTTGCAAGTTAATTGCAGAGAGGTTAGCAGACCTCAGAGCATCACATTATTCCATATGATTGACAGGAAACTTGAAGGTAGAGGGAAGTGCGGCTGGAGAATATCTCAACTTTAGGTCTAGGAAACACATTGTGGTAAAAATTTGAAAAAGGAGCATAACGATATAGAGATAGTATGATTTTTAGAGAAAGTACAAATGCAAGATGCTTCCAGTGAAAACTGATTAAAAAATGACCATTCTAAGACAAAATGATCTCCTTTCTCTACAGGCGGTTAATATGCATCGATCATTCCAATTCATTGTCATGTAATCACATATACTGTCTTGTTTTTGTTATTGTTTCTGGTGTATGTGCATGTGTGTGTTATTTTCATAATGCATTATAAATTACTACAAAGTAGGAACAGTTCTTTCCATTTTATTAAATATATACTACTCAATGTTTAGCATTGTTATATGCATACATAAGGTACTCAAATGTAACTGCTGAATAAATAATAAGAGGATGTTTGACATTGAGAAAGATGAATAATTAAACATATACCTTGTTCATTCTCTTCTTTTTTATACTTCTATTACTAAGTTTTCCCCGTTCCCTACTAAGTGGTTCATCCAGGCTTCCTGCCAAAGCAAATTCAACTTTTTGACAATTTACTTTAGACATTATAAGCTACTGAAGTTATAAATTTGAATAGCACTGAAGGAGTATATCCCCATAGCATTTTTGTAATCTAACAACCTGCATTTGTAATAGCATGGGAATTCAATAAAACACTAAAAAATAACCAAATTTTCAATAAAATTATGATTTTATTCCGTTATCTACATACATATGGTCTGTTGAAAAAAAATATCTAAAATCACCAGAGTTGTTTGTAATTGACAGCAGTTTTGCCCCAGACGACTTTTGGGAATGTCTGGGCATATTTTTATTCATTATAACATGGATGGTGCTACTGATATATGGTGGATAGAGGCCAGAGATGCTGCTTAACATCCTTCAATGCATAGGAAGGCTTCCACACAATTATTTGTCCCAAAATGTAAAAGTGCTGAGAATAAGAAACCCTGCATTAAAGGAATGAAGAAGCCAAATAGAAAATGGGAACTAATTTTTTACAAGTACCACAATATAATTATCATGGATTCTAATCTTTGCAGCATAATTATTTAACAATAATAATAAATACAGTTGTCTTTAATTAAGATAATTTAATGAGTGCCTATAATCTGTAAAGCATGCTGTGTTCTGAAAAAAATACAAAGAAAAAAATTTAGAGCACAAAGATATAAGTCATCATCCTTGTCTATCAAAAACTGACAGTACATTAGAGAAATGTGGTATATTTAAGTATAGCAACATGTAATTAAACTTAAAATGAGTGATATAGATCATGACGATTATCAAATAGTACAGTACAGAATATAGAAAAGAATCAGGGTGGACTAGAATGTGTCCTCAAGACCTGACAAAAGAAAAGGAAATTTATTTATCTCCTAAAATGGATAAAATTTAGATAGGTAAAGATAAAGAAAAAAAAGTATTTCATATGAGAAGCACTGTGTGAGTTAAGGTGAAGTAAGAGTTAAGATGACACTACACAAATTACCTGGAGCAAAGTTGGGTGTGCAAATGAAGTTGCCTATAGAGTTAGGAAGATAAAGGGCAGGACCAAGGAAGTCATAAGTGTTAGGCTGAGTAATGCTGTTACTATGAAGTCACCCAGGAACAACTCACATTTCTTTGTTGAGGGAAATAACATATGAAAGTACATTTCAGAAGTATATTAGAGTTCCCTGGAGAAACAGACTAATAAGATGGAGATTAATGCTAATATAAATATAGATATGAATATATGTAGATATAAATATATGGAAGTATATATACATGAAGATATGATTGCAAGAATTGAGTCACACTGTCATGGAGGACACGAACTTCAAAATCAGCCACCTGCAGCTAGAAAACCAAGACAGCAGATGATATAATTCAGTTCAAGTCTGAAGGGGACCTAGTGGTTAAGGCTAGGAGTCCTAAAACTAAAGAACCAGAAGCCCTGATATCCAAAGGCAGAAGATGAATGTTCCAGACTGTATATATATATTGTAAAGATCAAAAAGAGAGAATTAACTTGGCCTTCCTTGGCCTTCATGTTCTATTCTGGCACCCAGTGGATTAGATAAAACCTGCCTCAACTGGTGAAGAGGTATTTTTACTTAGTGTACTGAATCAAATGCCACTCTCTGCCCCAAACTCCTTCAAAGACACACCAGAAATAATGATATTTTAAACATCTAAATTACTGTAAATTAACATATAGGATATTAATGGAAACATGTATAGCAAAAGTTGCTGCAGCCAAGGTCGAAGAGATTACCGAGAGAGACCCTATAACCAGCCGAGCCACCAAGGGGCCCCTCCTCTGTCATCTTAACTCCTGCTCCATTTACATGCCTTTTTAATAGTTAAAATCATTGTGATTGATTTGAAGTTAATGTAAGGATACTAATCTAGAAGCCTACCTGCCCTATGTTGGGATTTCAGCAAAAGCAATACGTGTAGCACTGGTAGTCAACATTATTCCGGAGAAAATGATTTTTTTACTGAAATAAAATTGAAGTTTATAATAGCAACTTTGTTTTTATTTTTTCTTCCACGAGTCAACCATTATCATCATTGCATCTTTGAATCATTATTGTACTAACAAATCTAAACTATTTCTGTAATCTATGGCATTTACTTAACAGTTGTTGTAGACTGCTTATACTATTACCAGTCTACTTGATAATGATAGGTACTTTTTAAAAACTTTATTTTGAAATAATTTCAAACTTTCAACTTCTGGCTAGTTCTGTTGTGACACCTAAGTGCATCATATTACATTTGTTTACTCAGTCTGCTTCTTTCTTTGTAAGACTATGATTTCTTTGCATTCTCATTTTCTGGGCTGTATCTATTACATAACATAAACTCAGAGAATAAAATGAATAACTCATTATTTGTAAGACCGTAAATTGTCCTTGAGTTTTCAATACCTCTTTCTCTAATTTCTTTATTGATATTCCAACAATCTCAACTTTTAATTTAAAACTTTAATAATTGACAGTGCAAACACTTTTTAAGTGTATACTTCAAACCTTTTATGGGTAGTTACATAATTTTTCATTTTGATAACATCTAGTCTTGTTATTTATCTTACTATGTTCTTATTTAGTATATCATTTATATGTGTTGTATAATATGAATTAAGTTAAATGTCATTAATGTTTCAGCATTCAAACATGGCACTTTAAATCTAGGAAGTAGTTCTCAAATCAAGGTTTGAACACTTTTTCCATGAGCAAGGATAATTGTAATATTAAGGGGTTTAAATGTAGACTTTTTAATAAAATTCATTTGTCTGGATTAAGTTATTAAAAAAATTTAAATTTTTTTAAAAAATATAATTTAACTCAATACATCCACTATATTATTAGGATGTATTCAGTATTTTTAAATTAACCTTTTTTATAGTAAATACTTTAAATTTGGTATATATTTTACACTTAATGTTCATCTCAATTACTTCCTTCAATTGTGAAAATTACTGAATCATTCTGTCTCATTATCCTCATCTTTACAATGGCAAGAGTTATAAGAATTAAATTAGATAATATATGACATACCTGGCAGATGATAAGTGTTACATATAAATCTTAGTGACTTTCTTTAAAAAACAAAACAAAAACAAAAACAACACAATTTCAAACACGTGAACATGGCAGTAACCTCACTGCTTTAAGGCAAAGATCGTATTTTAGGGACTAAATTGTAACCCTTAAACATTCATCTGTTTTCCTTGGACAAATATGGACATAGACACACATTTCTCTGACTCCTTGTTTAAATTAATTTTAAAAAGAAACAATGATTATCGATTTATCAATTGTGACTCACGTACAACACTAAGATGAGATGTTAATAACAAGGAAACTTGGTGGGGCATCTGGGAAGTAAATCTCTTTACTTTCTACTCAATTTTTCATAAAGTCAAAACTGCTCTAAAAAGTAAATTCTGTTAATTAAAAACAAACCAAAAAAGGAAATAACATGTCTGCTATTAGTTCTTGCTACATCTTAGTTGTGACAGAGTCCATCAGTAAAAGTAGTAGCATTATTAAAAAAGTATCAATAAGAGAAGTTTACAGCTAAAAATATAATTTTATGTTTCCTCTTTTAGTAGTCATCATCCAACTCTTTTTAAATAATATATGGAAAATTTAAGCATGAAAAGTTCATTTTTATTCCCGGTTCTTGGGGTGGGCAATGGACAATTAATGGTGGCAGTCTGATGCCTAAGGGTAGAAATAGTCCATATATTTTTATAACTATTGCCAGTTTTGAGTATATTTTCTTTTCCTAATTTCAGGTTGGGTGGGACTATATCAGCATACAAGATAGTACCAGATGAAATAGAAGAAATCAAGGTATAGTATGCCATTTTTCATCTCTAAGAAGAATTAGTATCATGCCGGGTGGGTGGGGAAAGGATTGCTTTTTCTTTATACTATTGAATCTTTGGATGTGTTGGAACATCATTTAATTCACAGTTATCTTATTTGAATTTAAAAATATAAGATAACCCTCATCATATTTCAATTACTATTATCAATGCATATGTATGAAAAATATTTGGAGGATCTAAAAGGAACTCTTTTATGTGAAATTCATTGAAACTCTACTTAAGAAACACTGTACATTATCATTTACTATGCAAAATGGATTATCTTTCTAAGTCTTATTTTCCCTGTAAGTTTTCAATAATTATAAATAATACCAGTTTCCAGAAAATATTTCTTGATTCCACTGAAAACACAGTAGCTAATTGCAAGTTAAAATCTATAGTACATTAAATGAAAACTTGACCTTATTCTTGAAAAATTAAATCATCTGCATTCTTCTGTTTTTAACATTTTACTTAATCCTATGGACTGTCTTCTGGCATATCCTGTGGCCCTCCTCTAAGAGCAATTTACAACCCAATAAAAACTAAACTTACCATATATTATATAAATAAAATTTAACAAATGGATAGCAATAGTCAAGGATAACAATATTGAGTTAACTTGTTAACCATGACATGTAAAGATCTGAACAAATCATTAAGCTTTATTTAATCAAGCTTTCTAAAATCAAGTTCAGTAAGTTCAAATCTTCATCAGTAATTGTTCATTTTCTCACAGTATTTTGAAATCCGTTAATATCATTAGTCTATTATGTAATATACTATTAGTGCCAATATGTCACATGTATATAGCCGATATCAGTAATTAATCCAATAATTACATTCTAGCATTAAGAAAAAAAAAAGCAGGATTGTCAAAAGACTCATTCCAACTTGATATAAATTCATAAATTACTTTGGGAGAAACCTTAGTTCCAAACCAGGTTGTGTTGCTATTAACTTAAAGAGGAAGTGGAAAGAATAAGTTTGAGAAGAAAGAGGGTAAGTTTTGGACTTACTAAATTTGAGATCCCTCTCAGATAACTAAATACCCATTAAGTCATTGGTGAAATCAGCCTGAACCTCAGAAGAAAGATAATTTTATCTTTCAATTGATATTGAGATTTGTCCTTATCTAAGAATTACTTGAGGGATCCCTGGGTGGCCTGCCTTTGGCCCAGGGCACAATCCTGGAGACCTGGGATCGAATCCCACGTTGGGCTCCGCTGAATGGAGCCTGCTTCTCCCTCTGCCTGTGTCTCTGCCTCTCTCTCTCTCTCTGTGACTATCATAAATAAATAAAAAATTAAAAAAAAAGAATTACTTGAGGCCATCCTAGTTAATGAAATCACCTTAAAAATCTATATAAGGTAGTAACAGTGAACCAAAATTGTTGACCCATTCAAGAACCAAAGGATTCATATATTTTTTATTAGTTTAATTATCAGAAACACTGCCTTTTTTTTATAGTGTCTTTTCTCTAAAGAAATAATTTTTTCTTTGTGTTTTTTGAAATTCTAGAGTTAGAATATTTATCCCTCAGGAGATTCCTTCAAAAAAACATGATTCATGGATGACAGGGTGACATTACTTTGATTTTTAAAATTGATTACTGGTGGTATATCTAAAATAGCTTCAGAGAGTTTGAAGCTAGAGGCATAAAAAATATGAAATTGATTCTTGTTTCAAATGTGTTGGAAGAAAACCTGTTATAAAATATTTTATCAACATCTATTTGATGGTACCATTAGCATTTTCAACTGAAATCAGGTATCTTGTTTTGATTGGAGGAAATGTGAAACATATGCTTGTACTGTTCATTTTACTTGATAAATAACAGTAATTTTAAATTATCTAAGTAATACAATTGAGTTCAAGTTTGAAATACATCCACAATATACCACATGTAAATATTCATGTTTATTTTTATTATTTAAATATGATTGATTAATAAAACATAATTCAGTTTTTACAAAGTATGATAATCTTCACAATATTTCTAGCACTAGAAATTATTATTTAGTTCATCCATAGTTGGAACTAAGCATTTATTGATTGATTACAATAAATCACCACATAGTTGATGCTTGGCCAAAAGCTTAAGGGATAAATGCAAATACATTCCTGGCCCAGTCATGACTATTGCCTCAGTTTTTGTTAATTTCCATTCCTTTTATTTAGTTTACTTTTATACACATCCCTAAATATTACCATTTATTTGTGTTTCTCTTTGAATTTAATATGAATTGAATCACAGTGTATGCATTCTCTTATGCCTTACTTTGGTTTGACACTGTGAGATTTATTTATATTGTTGTCAAGCTAAGTTTTTTGTGAGGAGGTTGTTTTTCTTTTTTTGGTTTTATGTTTGTTTTTGCTGTAAAATACTCCATTGTGCCTCAAATTATTTAGACATCCTACACATGATGGACATTCACCTTAATAGAGTCCAGTAATGAGCTGAGTCTCCACCCCCACCAAGCAGCAGTTACACTAAAGAGACAGTGCAAGGTGGAGCTACTCACCACTCTCCTTTACCTTCCATTTCATGTGTCTCTGAGGCCTGTAAGGGAGATGTGACTCCATCCCGGTCTGTATCAATAAGACTGAATGAGATGGGGATAATTGATTTTTCATTCTCAGTAAAAGTTAACCTAGTGCTTCCCCTCTTGGTGTCAGCAGGGCGCAGCAGGCAGCTGAACATCTACCCCATACTATCAATAATGTGGAGCAAGGTGATGCCCCACTTTTGCCAGAAACATTTCAGCAGGGCTGAGAGAGGACCTAAACTTCTTCCCTATTGTCTTTAATGAAGTAGTATGAATCCATGCCTCAATTTTGCCAGAGTGGTGTCAGTGGGACCCAGCAAGAAACTGAATATAGATATTTATATGGCCCTCATACTGTACCACAACAAAGGGACAGCTGCTAAAAAAAAAAGATGATGATTAAATATGATCTAGAATTTCATAATGTCCAAAATGCCCTGGGTACAGTAAAAAAGTCATCATACTAAGAACAGAGAAAACCACAACTTCAGTGAAAAACAAAACAAAACAAAACAAAAAAGGCAACAGACACCAACACAAAGATGAATCAGATGTTAGAATTATCTGACAAAGATTCCAAAGCAGTTATCATAAAAATGCTTCAACAAGCAATTACTAATTTTCTTGAAAGAAATGAAAATAGAAATTACAAAAAGGAACAAAATGCTAATTACAGAGCTAAAAAGTACAATCACCAATATAAATGACTGATTAGGGGACGGTGGTGGAAAACAGTTGTGCCAGAAGGAAGTGGAACAAGTTTTTCAAGTGCTGAAATAAAGAACTGACAATCATGAAGCCCAAATCCAGTGAAATTATTCTTCAGAAATGAAAAGGAAATAAGGACACATTCAGACAAAAGAAAACTTAAAGAATTTGCCACGAGAAAACCTACCCTGTAAGAATAAATAAATTCTCTAAAAAGAATTGGAAAGGAAATGAGAAAACTTAATTAAGATTTAAAAAGAGGGACTCCTGGGTGGCTCAGCAGTTGAGCATCTGCCTCTGGCTCAGGGTGTGATCCTGGAGTCCCGGGATTGAGTTCCACATCGGGCCCCCTGCATGGAGTCTGCTTCTCCCTCTGCCTCTGTCTCTGCCTCTCTCTCTCTGTGTATCTCTCATGAATAAATAAATAAAATCTTAAAAAAAAAGATATACTCAAAAACACTGTAAATTAAGATGGAATCCTAAGATTTGTTCAAGTAATTCCCAATAAGCAATGAGAAACAAGACACTGAGAGAAATAGTAAAATGACACATTTAAATCCTAAAATGTCAGTAATTCCCTTAAATATATAAATAATTCAAATATACCAGTGAAAAAGACAGATTGACATAATGGATTTTTAAAAATGATTCAATATATGTTATTCTCAAGAAACTCATTTCAAAAATAATGACATAGGTAGTTTGAAAGTAAAAAGTCAGAAAAAGATATAGTGTGAAAACATTAATTTCTTGAGAAGAGGGAAGTTCTCACGTCAGTAATCCATGCTGCTTTCTCAAGAAACTAGAAAAAGATGAGCCAAATATTGTCAAAGCAAGAAGACAGTAATTCTCAAGAATTAGTATCAATGGAATTGAAAAGAGTAAAACAATGGGGAAAAAATGATGGAAACAAAGCTGACTCTTAAAGACCCAATAAAATTGATACACACTAGACTAACAAAGATAAAGGAGAAAAGATAAAATCACTGATACCAACCAGGATTGAACAAAGACTACAACTACAAATCTTCCATCAATTAAGTAGATAATTAGAAAATACTATAAAAACTTTATACTCATAAGTTAAACAACTTACCAGAAATGGACCACTTCCTCGAAACCCCCAAACTACCGAAATTAATCAAGATCAAATAGACAATGTGTATAGTCTACAGATTACAGAAACTAAATTTATAATGAAAAACCTCTTAATAAACAAATCTGCAGGCCCAGATGGTTTCACTGGAGAGCTCTGCCAACATTAAAGAAGAATTGACATCAATTTTAGGCAGTCTTTCCCAGAATATAGAAAGGGAGGAAATACTACCCACCTTATTTTATGAGGCTAGTATTACTCTGATAACAAAATCAGGAAAACATAGTACAAAAAAAAAAAAACTACAGACCTCTATTTATCATGAACTTAAAATCTACAAATATTACCAAATTAAATCCAACAAGGCTTAAAAAAAATTATACACCACTACCAAATGGGATTTATTTGAGGTATGCAAAACGTATCCAACATGGGAAAGCAATCAGTCTAATCCACCATATCAACAAGCTAAAGAAAGAGTATATGATTATATCAACTGCAGTAAACGCGTTTGACAAAATTAAAATGCATTCATGGTAAAAACTTCCAGCAAACTAGGAATAAAGGGAAACTTCCTGAACTTAATAAAGAGCATCTACAAAAAACTTATGGCTAACAACATACTTAATG